TGTTTAAAAAAAGATAGAAAACTGTCCTTGCAGTTCTCCTAATTAAACATATATACTACAAATGATAAAATCCCTACTTCTTCAGTGGTAGCTTTATTATTTCCCTGTGTAAAGAAGTTATAACTCCATGGAGGTGGAGAAGCCATAGATATAATCAGCGTCTAGCTCTGCTTCCAGCTGGAGGATTTGGGTTTCAAGCCAAACTTTTCAAAATCTAATGAGGAATTGTGCACACTTCCTTTGAAAAGAAACTTTTCAGCTATAACTAGTGATCACAACGAAACCTCAGTCATTTCTCAGTTGGGTGTCACACTACTTGGGGTTCAGAACTGTTTAACAATTAACCATAAGCAAAATAATTACAGCAATTGAAGGAACGATCCTCACAACAACATCTGATTTGCAAGTAAATGAGATAATCACCAACAAATAGGTCTCCTAGCCGGCAAGCAGCTGGAGGAAGTATAAAAGCACTTGCAGCTGAAAGCGGTTTACTTATTTCTTCCAGCTTTCTCTCTTCAGTGCAGCAAGTAAGTTTGGGTTTATTCTTCTGACTGCTCTCGGAGGTTTCTGAAAAACGGTTGTTTATCAGAGATAAAGATATTCCCTGAACCTGCTACGGCAACTATAACACAGAAAACGTATTACGTCTAAACCCAAGACAGGGCAAAGATGTCCAAGTTAAGGCATAGCAAACTACAATAGGTATCTGGGGAGAGATTTTTAAGATGCTGTGGTCATCCTGTGTGCACAGGGGTGAGGGCAGCCCACCCTCTGTGTGAGTCTTTCCAGTGCAGTGAGGCAATAGGAATCCTTCCTCTCATACCTAGAACTAGTTGGCTTTGTTACTGCTTCCTGAGAGTGCTGGCTGTCTCAACTCTCTATCTGGCTGCCAACCTCATTTACATAAACTGTCAGATAATAGAATGGTAATTATAAATAATAATGCTAACAAGTGCAAGACATGCCTGAGATCTCCTCCCAAAGTCTCACTTAATTGCCAAGATCTGCTGGTAAATTATTTGGACTCTGTCTTAATCGTCCCCTCTAGAAATCATCAGCAGTAATTTCCCATTTCATGTAGGCTGTTACACAGGCTTGCCCAGAGCAGTATTATACCTGCTGGGCAAAATACTTAATACGATACAAAAATGCAAAAGGGAAAGACTGACTTGAAGGCAGGAGAAATCAGAAAAGAAAAAAACGGCTGTGGTGTGCACCTAGATTGTGCCAATGTGAAAGCAGTTTAGTTTGAATGAGTTTTATGGACCTTATGCTGGACTCTCCAAGTCTTGCAACACCTCCTTGATCCTGTGAATGAAATCCTTGGTCCTCTGGAATGAAATCCTCAGTAAGTCAGGTGGCTTGTGGTCACATTTGCCAATACAACACCAACAATCATCTGAGTTGGGGTGGATTCTCAAAAGGATGGTAAGATAGTGAAGGGTGGTGAAGTATGCCTACAGTTTCTTTCTTTATGTACAGTGTGGATAGTTCCCTATAAGAACAGCTGTATCTGCTACAAAGTGTATTCTATACACATATATATATGTACCCTACTGCTGCAACACTGAGGAGGTGTTGGGCTGAGGATTTGGGAGGCAAAGCTGCAGTTCCTGCTGCCAGAGTGAGCACAACAGTGGGGTATGGGAAACACCAAACCTGCATTTTCTGGTTCTAGCCTTGTCTTACAGGCTGGACATCCCTAGGAGGGTAGGTGTGTTCTAGGCAGAAGCCTGAGCTGGTAATGACCTATCTCCTTTCAAAATGAAGAGTGTATTCAAAGCCAGCTGAGTGAATTGGGCTGTTTTTATTGATTTTTTTATAGAATTGCTAGAAGACAGGCTAAATAATGTGCTCAGACACACTTGCTGGTTCAGAGGGAGAGCTGGGAGGAGAACCTGAGCATGCCAACTCCTCTTTCATTTTCTGTCATTGATCATTGTTTGGAGAACTGCAAGACACAAAAGAGGAGATAGTCCAGCTACAAGGCACTGACAGCCTAAATACACATCTCCAAGGCAGCAGGAAGAACAATTACTGTCTACACAACACAAAGGAAGAACTCCTTTAGAGGAACTTAAGACTATACAGTTGATACTGTCGAACATAACTGACAGAACTTCTGGGACAGGGGTGTGATGGCTAACACAGCCTGCTGACAGTCTTATTTCTGCCTTTCAGCTTCAAAATATGTTAAACAATGCATGTTGATGTATGGAATCCTTAAGATTATTAAAAGATATTCCCTAAGCCAAGGGCTGATCAATATGACAATACTATTGCCTTGATTCCAAGCTCAGTTACATCAGCTGAGAGCTGGGCATGAGTTTTCCTGTTTCATAGACAATTTAAGACCAATGATACTAAATAAGCCACAGCCTTGTATTCTGTTTTGCAGTGCTCTGTTCTGGGTAGTGGAAAAGTATTTCCCTTTATAGCAATTTCCAGCTAACAGTCCTACACTAAGGATAGAGTTTGAATTCAAAACGAAGGATTTGCAAGTATTGCCCCAAAGTGCAGACTTTCTTTGTTTGAATGGAAATAGGAAATAGTAATTAAAGGATCAGACAGACTACTGTGGCTTCAGATAGAAATCTGGGACCCTTATTGTCAGCTTTGACCTAGTATTCATAATACTAGAAAACACATGCAAGCACCAGTATATGGCCAGTGCATATGCAGATACTGGTTAAATGCAGCAATATATTGTGAAAAGTTACTTTGAATCCTTGTAACAAAACAAATCTGATTTCCCTTTGTTTCCAACAAATCCAGTTATAGTCAAGACAAAGATGGCCCCCACCACTTTGACATGTAAGACATCTGTAGACAATAACACAGATACAATTCTATGTAGGGTGGAGTTGCTCAGTTAAGAGAAACAATGCACAAAGCGGTTACCTTGACATGTGCAAACAGTGTATCTGGTAACTGGAGGGACAAGGACAAACCATGACGTGGATGCAAAGGGACCATATAAAAGTCCCTGCAGCCCAGAGTCTTCAAGCCACTTTGGTTCTCCTGGTTTTGCACCTGCTGTTGAACCAAGTAAGTAATACTCTTTGTGGGATGGGGGAGGGTAACATCAAAAATGTCATTTCCATTTCCATGCAGGTTGAGAGTGCTGTATTACTTAAAAATATCAAACAGAGTAATGGGAAATAGAGTAAAATGTATTTCATGTTTCTGACCTTTCATTATAACCAATATCCTTGTAGCATTTACTCTCAGCATGTGTTCCTTCACTGTGATGGCTTTGGGTAAAAGAGGTCTGTACTGCACTGTAACCCTTGACAGGGCCCTGCCACTCTCTGTCTTCCAGGCTCACTTCCATCCCTACAATGGCTTTCTATAGGCAGCCCTGCGACTACAGCCGCCCCTTGCTGCCCTGCGAGGTGACCTGCCCACAGCCCTATGCCGATGCCTGCAGCCAGCCCTGCATCACCTCCTGTGGGGACTCCCGTGCTATCGTCTACCCTCCGCCTGTAGTCATCACCTTCCCAGGCCCCATCCTCAGCTCCTGCCCTCAGGAGAGCATTGTGGGCACCTCAGCCCCGCTGGAGCTGGGCAGCTCCTTTGGCCATGGGAGCTACCCGGAGGCTCAGAGCTTGGTGGGTCCTGCTGCAGCTGGCCGCTACTCCTACCCTTGCTACACCCGCCGGCCAGCATTCCGCCCTCTAAAGCCCTGCATCACTCTGCCACCTCCACCGCCCACCAAGACCTGGCAAGAACAGGAACAGGAGCAAATCCGCAGCCACTGAGCAAGCACCGAGGTGCAGCTATCAGAGGGCATCGCCAGGAGCTGGCTGCACGCTCAGCCATCCCAAGGAGCAAGCATAGATGCCAGCCCCCCTTTGCATGAGATCTCTGCTCAAGATCTCCTTGCGCTCTACTTCATCCTTTTTTCCTTTGCTATGGTGTAAATTTAACTCAATCCCTCTGCGTTGTTTCCTGCAGTATTGCAGTGCTCTGATAAATCCCATTTGTCGTTCTCAATAAAATCCTTCCTGCTGCACGATATCAAGTTTTCTTCTTCTCTTAATTTGGTTTATAATCTGCAGCTCACTGATACTGATATAATCCTTGATGAATAGTACCTAATAAAGTCTTTAAAGGAGATCCCAGCTTTGCTATGGATCCTAAACACTTCACATGGATGTTATACAAGTACTATATATTTGATGCATTTGAGAACCTGATGTTCCAGAAGAAAATCTGACAGAGGCATACCCATGGTAAAGAGCAACATGTACCCTTCAGTGTTCCTCCTACAGGAAAAGGCTCTCGATTCAGTCCTTGCCATAACAAGCTCAGACAAGGGTGTTTTTCCCTGAACAAAGAAAAAAATGCATCCTCAGACGGTAAGTTAGATGGGGATTACTGATTTCCTCTCCTGTCAACATCTCCGAGAGCTGGGCTTGTGCAGGAAAATGCCCAGCTTTATGCAAGCTATACTGCATAGACTGGCAGAACTGAGCTTAGCTAATCATATCACAGCTATGCTTACTGGCCACAACAAAATTGCAAGCTGCAGACTCATTTGAAGAAATCAGCCTTCAATCGAACATTTTCTATCACCTCAACCATGCTGACATATACATCATAAGGAGTGTCCAGAAGAGGTCTGACAGGTCAGCACCATTTTTCTGCTTTCCAAAGAATTCATGAGTATGAAACACCATTGTCCATGAGGTCACGCTGCTTTACCAACCAGTATCTGTAGCATGTGCAACTTGCGTGGATGATGCAAATTTTTTCCTGACTTATCGTAATTACTATGATGTTCCCTTCTTCATCATGTTGTTACACAACAATGCACCTCATGTTTCAGCTCCTTTCAAGACTTCAATGACCAGATCCTTCCTGGTATCAATCCACTCCCTCAGTTGGTTTTAAGTGGGAATGAATCAGGATCTTTCTATGGTTCCCTGATTTTTGCTTACTTCTCTGTCCTAAGCAGTATCAGGCACCTGGCTGAGTGGTCCATGATGCCGTGATAGTGGATATTATCACTATAATTCATTATTTCCTTAGTGTCTGGTTGCAGGTATTAGATATCTCTTGCACCTTGGAGCTTCAAGGATAATACAGTCCATGTCTCAGCTCCAAATGGATTTTACAACAAATTTTAAGAATTTATAAGATATTGTACATTTGTCAGCCAGTTTCATCCCAACTGAGGTACTTTGCAATGCTATGGAGGGCTAAAACCTGGGACTTGTTTCAGAGAGGTCGATATCTGGTGAATCTGTATGGGATAAAGACGTTTATAGTAGGATGACGTAGAAAGGCGTAAAGGGAAGCTGGGAATTGCCTAATAGATGCCAACAGTGAGTAAAATGATTACATACTATGAGGTGTAATTGCTTCTGTTTTGAATCTGATCAAACCTCATACACAAAAGGTGCCTCAGATCCTCCTGGCTACCTGAGAAGCAGCATAAAAGCACGCGCTGCTCACCTCTCCTCCAACAGCTCTTCCTGACTTCTCCTCTGCAACTCAAGTAAGTTGTTCATTCTCTTTCCCTTTTCAATATACTCTTTTAATGATAATTCTAACCGAGTCTTACACGGCTATTTGCTTATGCACAGACTGGGCAGCCTTTCCTTAAAGGCACATTACTGATCCTGCAGAGAATGTGGTAATGGTGTTATCCAGTTCCTTGAGGGACCTTGCTAAGTTCTGTATTTCAAGAGTTTTGAGACTTCTGGTTCCTAAACCTGCTATAGAAACTGCTGCAATTGGGCAGTGTAACCAGGGGAGCGTTGTGTATAGACACAGCAAAAATGAGGGTTGTTTGGAGTACAGAGAAAGGCTAGGAGGAGTTGAGAGCTTGGTAAGTAGAGAGGATAAATGTAACTCAAGGATGGGAAGACAACTAGGAACTACAGAACCGTATCAGCTGTCCTCAGCAAACTACTCAACCTGGTAGCATCCACAGCAAATACACCTGGATGTGCAAACAGATCCCTGTCCTAACACTTCATCCACGTGTATTCCTCTGTCTTCTTCTGTTTCAGATCCACTTCCACTGCAGAACCATGTCTTCCTACAGACAGCTGTGCAACTACCAGTGCTTCAATCCATGTGAGGTGGCCTGCCCACCGCCCATTGCCAACACCTGGAACGAGCCATGCATCACATCATGCGGTGACTCCAGGGCAGTGGTCTACCCACCCCCTGTTGTCATCACTTTTCCTGGGCCAATTCTCAGCTCCTGCCCTCAGGAAAGCGTAGTGGGGTCCTCAGCACCAGCTGGCGTTTGGGGCTCACTTGGCTATGGGGAGTCCTATGGCTACAGAGGCTCTCTGGTTCATGGGGGATTACAGGGAAATAAGTTCTCATATTGCTCCCAGAGGTTCAGTGGCTATCGCTCTAGAAAGTGTGAGCCCTGCCAAACCCAGCAAGAATATACTTGCAGCAAGAGCAGTCAGGAGACTGAATGCAAGATCCAAACTCAAGAGTAAGATAACCAACATGAGTTTCTAAGATGCTGGCCTAAAAAGAATGATCCTTGTTAATGCTTTACATTTTATTTGTGCTCATATCTGCTTATATACTTCTTCCTTTGTTAGAAGTGTGCTCTTCTATTCTTCTTATGGTCCAGATTTTCAAATGTATTAGTATTTCTTCTATGCTCAACTGTATGTTATACAAGCATAATGGAAGAATTATGATGCTGTGACTTTTTTTCACCTGACACTGCCTGATGTCCATCAAGAGCTATGTTAAGGGATGAAAACTGGACTGCCTCATCAGACTTAAAGCTGCAGAAGAAGAAGAGAACACTGTGCTTGAAATGAAGATTCCTGAAGAAGCAGCCTTGCTTGTTATAGCCTCAATTTCTGTTTTCTGTATGAACATGTTTTTTCTACTGTAAACTTCCCTGTGCTATCTCCTATTAAAAAGTTACTTTGCATTATGATATTTGCATTCTTGTTTTCTTTTCTATCTGATTTTCAAGTCAACTTGGTAGAGACAATCTCCTTTTCAGAGTGTTGGTGTTTCCATCCTGGTTAAGCTCCACGCGAGAGGGGAGGAGAGACCTTAAATGACCAAAAGCATTACGTTACTCTTCAGTATAGCAAGTTTTCCCATGCTACTGATATATATACTGGTTTGCTCAGCCATAGGAAAAAGTATATTAGTACTAGTATATTAGTAAAAATTAGTAAAAGTATATTAGACTAGTATATTAGTCTAGTAAAAGGAATCAATGAGTGCTAATTCTAAAGTTTTCCATTTCAACTTCGCTTGGTGGATGAACAACCTTCATTTCTCTCAATTCTGCTCAAGAAGCACTAGAGTCATAATAATTTCACAAAGTGCAAGGATGTTTTCCTTGGATTTCACATATATTGTTTTGGAAGTCACTCATTATGGCCTAATGAGAAATGGACATTTGCCAAACTGGGGAAAAACAGCGAAAGGTCAGCTGAAAGCATCAGCAATGAAGCTGATGGTGGAAAAATGGGGATAAAGCAAGCAGAATACGACCACCCTAGAATGCACAGGTCTAGAGGGATATTACTGGCATATATTAATGAGTTCTTGGAAAAGAATGAATATGTATACCAATGTACTGCATATGTTACTTAACTGTTCAAATGTAGAATCTGAACTCTAAGATTGTGTGCTTGTTTGTCACATCAGCTGGTATGAATTGAGAGGAATAAAGGAATGCTGCTTTCTGACACTGCACTGGTGTTAGAGAGTTTTCTTCCCAGGTTTTGGATGATGCTGTGTTCTCGCTTTAAACTTTGCACTGCCAGGACTTAACGATGTCAAAAAATAATGCAGGGAAACGAAAAGAGGCACACAGTGATTTTCATGCTCAGACACAATATATGGAGGAAGCATAAGAAGAGAGCACAGGATAGTCAGCAGAAGGCAGCAGCTCATTAAGGACCCTCATCACAACATGGAGCACAGTTTGCATTCAGCAAACACTTTACATCACGCATTTAATTTAATTGCACTTATCCTTAAGACAGTAAACTTGAAGAGTTCTGATCTTGAATGAGCAAGTTACTACGCAATACTCTTTTAAATGGATTTAATATAATAATAATAACACTGTAGTAATGTAACAGCTGTGAGGTTACTTAGCTAATTGCTCTCAATTTACACCTCAACAACTGTTTATGGTTTCCAGATGGTCCTTAAGCACTGCTGGGTCACTCCCTATTTATTGGGAGTTCTCTATGCTTCTTTCACTTTAAGGTACTCTTCTTGTGGTTATCTAAGCTACTTTCTGAAAGGTGACCGTGTTGAATTCTCTCTGAGGTTTCTACTGAGGCGCTCCTTTGCACAGAAGCTGAAGGAGGGAGTGATATCTACTCTTGGTTGTTTGCAGTCCCAGCTGAGGTAACTTTATGATCTCAAGGAGCTGGTGCCATGGTTTCATGGCTGTCCGTTGGTATTTCACATCATAACACCATGTTGTGCACTGGAAAAGTACCGAGGACTCAAATTTCCTTTATTTTAGGCTTAGGTTTCAACTGTGGATAATATTTTGTCACTGTAAAGTTGTCTCTGTTGCTATGCACCTGGCAATATTTCCTCTTTATTTCTTTATGCCACCTAGACTTAGCATAAGCTAATATCCACTCTCTATTTCTCTGCTATGTGGAATTGGGATGGCTCTGATTAAAAAGGCAGGGGAAGTAAGGATGAGCTATTGAAATAGTTTTAGAGTGGATATTTAGTATTCCACAATGGTCTTGATGCTTTTAACCAAAGGCTGGGCAGTTTTCTCACACGTGGTTTCTTGTAAAGATTAAATCATGCACGCAGTCAAGCCTGGCATGTTGTAAGGAGAGTTACATGATGAATGGATCCCTAGGCACTGCGTAAACACTGCTGATGAGAGCATAGTATTCATCTCCTTAATCTTTGAGATAAGAGGGTGGTTGGGTTCAGTTGGTTTTCTGAAGCTGCATTACTCCAAAACAGAGACAGCCAATCTGAATGGTATTTGAAGGCATTCTTAAATCTTTGTTGGGAGCAAA